ATTTGTTGCAGCAGCATAATGTAATGTGAACATGATGTTGTTGTTCACATGTTGTTTATTGCGATATTCCAGAACAGATGTGGTATTGCACGAGTTGTATTTGCAACTGAGGCATGACGTTTTGGATGACCGATTACAGCCGCCCAATGATGCACTCTACGAGTTGGCCGCACTCGCTCTCCAAGCCGAATACTCGGATCGACCGAGCAATCCGGCACTTCTTGATTACTTCCAGTTGGAACACTATTTACCTGAGGCATCTTCATTTTTTCTCATCATTTTTGCGAAGTTTCGAACTCGAACTTATCTGCATGAAATTTTTTGTCGAGAAATGGAATTTTCATTCATGTTGCTGAAAGAATAAGATAGGATATCGGATACGAGGGGATATAGAATGTGATAAGAGAGTTGATCTGTTAATCAGTTGATGATTGAATTCAGCAGTGAAGCGTTTTCAGCGAGCGATCGATCTGAACGATGAACGTCGTTTAATAAAAGTTCTATGTGAACTCCATAGTCATTACGGTGGTTTGAATAGTCATGAGGCTGAAGCACAATTCATAATGGTACTAAAAATTGACTTTTTCAATGTGTATTTTGGAATCTGAGAATCAATTTTGGCATCTCAACAACAATCTGAAAACAATTACTCAATTGAGTATTTTAAGGAGTGTTTCATTAAACAACTTTCATCCTTGTTTGTTCGGTTTTATCAAAAGCGAAAAGAGCTGAATGTGCAAAATCTGAGTTGTTGAATATCTGATGTGGTCTTGATTGCAAATGATTCGTTTCAAAGTGAAACCAATGNCAAAATCTGAGTTGTTGAATATCTGATGTGGTCTTGATTGCAAATGATTCGTTTCAAAGTGAAACCAATGCACGTCTAACTGTAAAAAGTATCATTACAAGGGATCATTCATTGCTGATCATCCGACCAACTCAGAGTACCTTTGTATCATGTGTGCCTCTTTCTACCTACAGATGCGCCTATGCAATCGTTATGTAGTTGATTTCATATTTTTTGAATGTTACTTTAGCGTTGCCAAAGGTTATCAGACTACGGCGGTCATTTCCATCGAGTGTACAAGATGAAGCCGTCATCGAATCTCGGCAACACTCCACTCGGTGATCCACAAACGGGTTTTCCGCAATGGATTGGCATCTTACCGCGGGGTATTTTGCAGTACGAGGAGCACAGGTGAGAGGATTTCTTTTCGAGTTGTTCTTTCGTTTGTTTCTTTTTTTCTCGTTTTCGATTCATTTTCTTGTTGAATCAATTGGGAATTTTCGTACATATTTCAAACAGCTCTGTGTATCTGAGGTTTGCTTTGTGTGAAGAGATGAATAATGAACGTAGTTAATGTGTAATGTGCAAAATGGAATCGTTCGTGACTGAGAACAGTGTATCTTACAGAGGAGTACGACATGAAGTTGCCGAGCATTTGTGGCAAGATACGCAAACGTTGCAGTTCGATAAGAAACGATTCGTGATTGTCTCGGAATTACATCATCCACCACAAAGTGTCTTCTATACAGATCATTATACCAAGTGTGTGCACTTTTGAATTTTTGCTACTTGTTCATAAATTATAATTTGGAATCGGAGTTTTGCATAGAGAAATTAGTTTTTTGCTAGTTTGTTTCATTATCATTATTGTTCACCTCGGTGTTATTACTGTCATTGATATTATTTATTGTTGTTGTTGTTGTTGTCTTCTCATGAATCAGATTATTCGAGAATGATGCACACATCCGAAGTGTGTACCAAACTCTTTCAGAAGTGCCTATTTTGTACGTTTCGCAGCCTCGCAACATCGGTTCATGATCAAAATGCG